CTGGCAGTCACATGTTGGTTCATTATATTTCCCAAAGCATGTTTGAAAATATGCTTAAGGGGATATAAAACTATCTTTTTAATGGTCTGTTTCTTTTTTCTACAGAGATCTAAGGAAGTTATAAACACTGAAGCTATTCCTAATTCCCAGATAAAAGCCATCAACCGGGGACTTAAAAGAAAAAAACAGCTTGGTAAGCTCTTTCTTCATATGTGCTGAATGTTCTTTATTCACATCTTTTACCTTCATGATGTGGAGACATGGGATGGAATTTTAAACAGATTCTAGAGGAAATTCCAGGTTTTAAAGCAAATAATACAAAATGAAATTAAAGTGGGAAACTATTGATGGTAGAATGAGAAGCAAATATCTTTTATTATCCTGATTACTGTCAATGAGCTGCTGCTTTTCCAGTGGAGCAACTATTGTGCAAAAAATAGCAAAGGAAGCATATGTTCTTTAAATTGGCATATGTTCTTCTTTTCCATATTTATCATATATTGGGATTATGATTTTCTGGGCTTTTGTAGAAAAATGCTTATTTCATGAAATAATTTAGCTGACAAATTATCTTAAGCAGTATATTCAACTTTCAGAAGTCTGTTTCTCACATTGATTTTTGAACATACTCTTTAAAATAGGGGAAATTTTCTTAAAATAGCCTCAGCATGGATGTACTTTGAAGGGTGATATATTTCATTAATCCAATGAGTACATATAATTAACCACTATCCTGAGAAATCTGAGGTAAAGTATAACTGATGCTTTTTCTTTTTGTGACTGACTCTGTAGGATCAGATTCTCAGATTTGAAACTATGACAATGGTAGACTCTTCTACATTAGGTAGCTTTAAGGGTACAAACACTTGAAATATATGCATGTATATTAATGAAATATTTATGTGAAGTATATTGACATTCTTAGATGAACAACAGAGAGAATGCCTAAGTGCTAAGTCATGTTCCTACTTAACCTTTTTTTTTAAAAGACAAAGTCTCATTTTGTCGCCCTTGGTAGAGTGCTGTGACATCACAACTCATAGCAACCTCCAGCACTTGGGCTTAAGTGATTCTCTTGCCTCAGCCTCCTGAGTAGCTGGGACTACAGGTGGCCGCCACAATGCCCAGCTATTTTTTTTTGGTGGTGGTTGCAATTTGGCTGGGGCCAGGTTCAAACCCACCACCCTTGATATATGGGGCCACGCCCTACTCACTGAGCCACGGGTGCCGCCCCCTACTTAACCTTTAATAATGACTTTTAATTGGGCTAAAACCTGATGAATTTTCATTAAATTTTATCAGAGTAAAACTTTGTTAATTCTGACTTAACATATTTATTTATTTATTGGGGAGACAAAAGTCTCTCTATGTCATCCTTGGTAGAATCC